ATCAAGACCGAATTGGGACCGGACCGGATCAAAACCGGACCGGATCAAGACCGGACTGTATGCAATCCAATCTTCGGTCCTTATATTTTCAAAAAGACAGGACTGGACCGGATCAATTTGGGCCAATTTAACCGGACCGGACCGTATAGCCACCCCTACCCACCAATATTCCCCATCCCCCAATATTCCCCAGTAGCCGCGCAGAGAATTCCCAAGTCGAACCGAACACCAAATTCCCCTCCCAATTATTTTCGAGCGGCCCTTTCAACAACAGCAGCCCGTGCTTCTCAACGCGGGCGCGGCGAGAGGAGAAGAAGAAGGAGTTGCACCCAATCCCGATCTCGATCCCGATCCCATCCCTCTCGTGTTTCTAGGTAAGGATCACGAACCCCGTTCGCGATTTCTAAACGTGATTTATCGTTAGACTAATTCGAAGCTCGGTTTTTATTGACGGTGACGTTGAGGGTTCGATCAACGAGGAGATCAACGTCCCGGGTCAGCCAATCTAGGCCTAGGCTCGTTCTAGAGGTAAGGGAACTCGATTCCTTTGAGTTAGATCGATCGATTTGGTGTTTTTCTTTAGGCTGCAATTCTGTGATTTTAGCAACAGGCGATCAGACTTTTAGTGACAGGGTTTGGATGGTCACTAAAGCTGCTGGGAATTTTCAGAAAATTGTTTTAGATGGTTTAAATTGTTTCGGGAGCGGTTACGGTGCTAATTGTACAATAGTTAGCACCGTCCTAACCAAGGGAAAAACTACTACTAGTTTGAATTAGTAGTGATTTAGCTTAGATGTTGTATTGATTTTATAATAATCCGTAGTGATTTCGTTATTTTTAGTAGCGTTTTTTGCTAGTTATCACGGTGCTATCCCATCCCAATTGTTTCGAGTCTTTATGGAGGTTTGTTCTTGAGTTTAAATTTTTTATAAATTGAGGCAGGTCTAGGAGATGGATGTAATATAATTTTGGGATTTTTGAAGATGTATTTCTAATTTTTGAAATTGTTCGAACATTCGTTTTAATTAAATAAAAATAATTCCGAGGATTTATAAGGTTTTGATAATTTTCCATGGTTTAAGTAATCATGATTGATGTAGGAAAATTATGATCCGAATTTGTAAGAAGGTTCAAGCTAAGTGGAAAATTCGTCCAAGACTAAAATAATTAGAAAAAGTGGTCGGTTTTGAAGGGATTGTTTTTAGAAATTTTTTTAAAGGGGGTTAAGGGACCTTGGGGGCGAGCCTCGAGGGCTGGATGTTGAGGAGAGGATGTCCTAGTGACCCAAAAGGGGAATCCTAAATCGAGAAAGGTCGACTAAGGGGATGACTTTCTTATTAATAGGTTCACCGAGATAATCCGGCTAAGGAGGGGTTTCTTCGAGAAAGGAATTGAGGAGTCATATTTCCGAGGTGAGTGTAAAGGGGGTAAAATCTCTGTCGAGGTTTTTTTAGTTTATGCTTTTCGTTCAAGTTATTAATTAGTTAATTTTTGAGTAATGCGCGATATGTGTGTGAGGCATCCTACCGCCTGTAAGGGTGGAGGCACGCGTTGTGCTATGTATGAATGTATGGATGTGTGATTGTAATAGTTGGGTAATGGTATGAGGAACCCCCGGGCGGTTGGGCCACTACTGGACGCGGTAGATGGTCGGGTTACTGCTGGACGGCGAGACTTAACGCAGCAGTTGATCGAGTATGTTGGGTCACTACTGGACGGCGAGACGTAACGCAGTAGTTGACGGGCATGGACTGGACGGCGAGACGTAATGCAGTGCCATTGCCGAGTTTGGGTATGCAATCGGACGGCGAGACGTAACGCGGTTGGCATACTAGGGCAGGACACCGAACGACGAGACGTAATGCGGTGGTCCTAGTGTTTTGTGTTTGAGTTAAGGATAGAAGGCGAACACTCTTAGGAGTTAATGTTGAAATGAGTTGATAAGAATGGTAATTTAAGAGCAGAAAGCGAGAATGGCTTTCATGCTAGGAAGGAAACTCTAATAACGTGTTAGTAGAAGTTTTCTTAGGGCAAAGACCTTAGGAAGTAACGACGAGACTGGCCCCTTCTCACTCACCAGGTTGAGGATAGTCTAGCCGAAGTGGATCATGAGAAGAAGCAGGGCGAGGCGAGCAGCGGTACCAGCATCAACGGGATATCGGAAAGCTCGTGAGGAGTCAAGTTAGATTAGTTGATTATTCTATCTCATGGTTACTAGTATAAACTGGAGATTCTGTGTTAAGTCGTTTTAAGTGTTTGAGATTGAGAATTTTGCCCAAGTGTTGGGGCTTTCGTTAAAAAAATTCTTAAATAATGTCAGTTTGTTTATTTTAAAATGTGCTTTGGGTTGCTCTGGAGTAACCGGTTTGTGGTTTGAGTTATGGTTTGGTTTTCAAAAAGAGCGGGTCGTGTCATACTCTGCCAAACTGAGTTCCCGGCCGGGTATTTAATATCAATTAGTTCTCTCCACCAACTACCTCTATCCTCCGCGAATTTCCATAGCCACTTGCTCAACAAGGCCTTGTTGAAGCTCTTAAGATCTCTGATATCCAGTCCCCCCTTCTCCTTTCTTGCTTTACACATTTCCCATTTGATAAGAGGGATCTTGCTACTTTCTCCTGCCCCACTCCAGATGAACCTACTTTGAATTCCCTCAATCCTCTTCAAAACAGTAGATAGGGCGCGCAGAAGAGAGAAGAAATAATTGGATCCCAAGTCTGCCGCCAAAAGATAGGTAGCGACTCTTCCATCCCTCTAACCTCTGTTCGAACTTCTCAATGATTGGATCCCAAGTCGAGATAGCATTCACTTTGGCTCCGAGTGGAAAACCGAGGTACTTAGATGGCTCGTTACTTCAGTTGCACCCGAAAATAGAAGCAAAGAATTCCGGAATCGGCACATCCCCAACAGTGATCATCACTGATTTCTCAAGTTTAATTCTGAGACCAGTGATCGCCTGGAAGTAAACTAAGGTTGCCGCCACATTAAGCACCTGCTCATACGACGCATCACAAAAAATCAATGCAGCAAATAACAAGTGTGTGACCTCACCTCTGCCGTTAACCTCATCCATACAGAAGCCTGCGATTTTCCCCGCCTCCTGAACCTTATTAAGCAGAAACGAGAGGATGTCCATAATAAGAGTGAATAATCCTGGCGACAAAGAATCTCCCTGCCTAAGTCCCTTCTCTGGCTTGAAAAATCCTTTTGATTCACCATTAATGAGAGTAGAAACAGCCGGGGAACACATGGTTCCTCGAATCCACTTTTGCCAAAGTTGGGAGAACCCCAAGGATGAAAACACCTGAAACAAACAGTCCCAACTTTACATTATCAAAGGCCTTCTCGATGTCCAATTTAAACATGAGCCCCAGGTTTGCGACTTTTCTGGCGGCTATCAAGTAATTCAAACGCGATTAGCCCTGCCTCCGATATCTGTCTACCTTTAACAAAAGCGTGCTGGTTCTTAGACACAAGATCAGGAAGAAACTTGCTAAGCCTGCGAGACAAAATCTTACTGATAATTTTATTTAAACTGCCCATCAAACTGATCGGTCGAAGATCCTTGATATCCTCCACTGTATCACGCTTCGGCAGGAGACACAAGAATGAGTGCGTAGCGCATTTCGGTAAACAACCTGTTAGATGGAATTCATTGATGACCTCCACCAAATATTTCTTTATAAGACCCCACCCTTTTTTGTAGAATTCCCAGGTGAACCCATCGGGTCCTGGGGCCTTACCCCCATCACAACGATACCTCTGCTCAGTTCCTCTCTCCCTTCAGTCCGAACCCCATTGATATTGATGCAATCAATCATATTTAATTTCCTCTTGTAGTTGGCGACACGATGGAAGAAGTTGGTATTGTTATCCCCTCCCTTTAACCACAATTCTTTGGACATCTGTCTCCACTGTATTTCTTGATAAAAAAGCAACCTACTTAGCTCAATTTTAGTCTCTTGTCTAGCTCTTTGTTCTGCTTCATCAAGCATCCGCGTTTCCTCTACTCCATCCAACTCTTTAATTCTGCTGAACGCATTATCCACTTGGGTGTTGATATTACCAAACACATTCTTGTTCCATTCCTTCAATTTCTTCTTCACCTCCTGCAGCCACTTGACCCACCTGAAAGTCTTCCCCCGGCCTTGCACAGGACTCGGCCACCATTTAGCAAGGCCCTCGAAGAACCTTCCATCTTCCAGCCACATGTTTTGGAATCTCCAGGGTCTTTTAATCCTGTCCGTTCCACCCCATTTGACAAATAAGGGACTGTGATCCGACTCTACGTGCTCCATCGCTGTCTGCGTGCAATCTAGGAACAGATTATCAAAAGCAGTGTTCACAAAAACCCTATCAATGCGCGAAACTGAGGCAGAGCCATCTCCTTTACTCCAAGTGAAGTTGCTCCCTCCCAAAGGAAGCTCGAGCAAGAAGATATTATCGATAAACTCATTAAAGTTGTCCATTAATCCTGTACTGCGTCTTCCACCTCTGTAATCCTCATGGCTTTGCACCAAGTTAAAATCCCCGGCAATACACAGGGGTCGATCAGCCGATTGACATAACATGTTCAATTCACAAATGAATTCTAGCTTCATCTCCCGACTCTGAGGACCATAAACCACACAAAGAGTCCATATCTGCTGCGACACAACCTCCTGGAAATCGATAGCCAAATGAAACACCCCTGTTCTACAGGAAAGAGATCTCACCACATCTTTGTCCCAGAAAAGAGCAATGCCTCCCGAACTGTTCACAACATCTTTGGCTGCCCAACCACTGTCTCTACTGCCGCTTATACTAGCAATTAAATCAACTGATCATTGATCCCATTTCGTTTCAACAAGACCAACAATCTTCGGCCTCCTTCTTCCCAAACATCTTTTGATCCTAGCTCTCTTGCTGAAATCTCCCAAACCCCTAACATTCCAAACAATGAAAGAACACTCCATTAATTATTTGAAAAAAAAACCTTCCTCACCTCTGCTCCTACTCCTTCATGCTCCAGACACTTGAAAGGATATAGGACCCAATCTCCGTTTTTCCATCTCAAGTTTGGATCTGGGTTGTCGAATCTTCCTTTGATGCATATCTTTTACATTGTTCTCAATCATTTCTTCCACCGTCGCTTGCCCCCCTTCCATTTCGAGCTCGAACAACTTACCAATATCACGACAGGTGGACACTAGAGTTGACTTGTCGAAAGGGTAGGCCTCTAGATTTTGACTCTTCTCCTGGCTGTCTGGCACACACGAAGGGGATGGGAGCTCCACCAAATCTTGAGAAAAAGGACTGGGAGCATATTCGAGTTCTGCGGCGGAGGTTTGTGTTTGCACTGGAGTGGTATGTGGAAGACTTAGGCAATCATACTCACTGCTCCAGGTGGAAACCTTGATCGGTGATTCAACGGAATCCGGTAGCATGGTGATTTCAAGAAATGTTTCTCATGAGGAGTAGGTCACTTAGTACCGACAAACAACACGCATTACTTCATATGTTGTTTGCGAGCATCCTCCTCAGTCGAAAGTCGAGTTATCAGACTTTCCAACAAAAGTTATTTTGTTTTTATGTCTAAGAACATGCATTTTTAAAATCTTTCCACGGAGAATGCAACTTATCATTACTAGCAACTTGAATCCAATTGTCAAGAGGTATACCTTCCAATATATCTCATATCTCATTTGCAATCTTTAGGAGTTCATAAGATTGAACTTCAACCAACACTTCGTCCAACATCAAGTATCGTAGGTAGCATCTGACATCATACTTATTGGCTCCAGACTCCTCAGTTTCATACTTCTTATGGAGAGCTTCCCGCACCATCTTTGTCGTATTGTTCTAATTAGTGTAGTAGCTGTAGAGAACATTCGCAAGACCATTAAGGGTTTAGTTCTTGCACAAGAAATCATCCTCTCTCCAACTTTAAATTTCCAACAATGAACTTCTCCGCATTAGTAGGATCTTCAGGCAAAACATGTGGCATAGAGGTTAGGGAGTTAGCCAACTTTTTGATTGTAAGGAAAAACAATATATTTTGTCTCCAATGATAAGAACATCTAAAAATTGATAATGCTAGATCAAGATACAATATTCTATTATGTAGCACTGATGTACAAACACACAACATCTTAAAATTGGTAGAAACCAAACGAGAAAACTAGGGCTACCAATCTGACTGAGTCGCAAATTAGGTCCCTCACTTTAAGATGTTCGCGATACTACCTCGTAATTGTGCACAACATACTATCAGTCAGTGTAACACCTTAGGAAAATCCCGCATCGACAAAGGACGAGAGAGATCCATGGTTCATAAGTAAGAAACCAACCTTAATTGACAAGGCGCGTTTTGGGGTGAAATGAAATAGTTCTTCTGAGAAATCTGAAGTTAAACGTGCTCAGTGTGGAGTACAACAAGGATGGGTGACCTTACGGGAAGTCACCTTGAATTGCACCCCAAATCAGAAACCGTGAGGGTCGAGGCACAAAGAGGACGATATTTTAGTCGGGAAAAGGTTCGGGATGTTATAGTCAAGTGGACTACAAAATAAAACAATAACTCTCTATTCTCTTTGTTGATGCGAAAACTAAGAGATCTACGAAAACACTTTTTTTTCTGTTCTATTTTGTGTGGTTAGAGTTTGGTAGCTTTGCTATTCTTTTATAGGGGCACAATCTTCCGAATTTTCCTTCTTTTATAAAGAATTTGTTAAACAAATTCTAGGAGGATAACTACTCCGCCAACACGGAATATTATATTTAATAAGAATTATTAAATTGAGCTCAATTATACATCATTTTTTGGCATTATAAAATGAATTATCTAAAGAAAATACTCTAAACCCCGGCCCACTCGCTTGATGGATAACACAGAAACTACAATCTTATAGAGATAAACCTAGCCTTAAGAGACCCTTGACAATGTTGATTTCATCAATATTGTATTTTTTAGACTTTCGTTAACTTTTATAGGCCATTCACATTCTCAACACAAACGTTAGTTCTCATTTATGTGTATACAAGCGGCGATAACTCTTATACGTGTAATCAAAGAAAAAGAAAAAAAAAACGACCCCCATTGATCCCATTCCCATCATCTCTAATCTACGATCAGCAAGACAGAAACCAACACAGAACCACGTCGTTGTCACAACATTGTTGCTCAACAGTACCCACACACAAGCCCACGAGTAACCTTTCTTACCTCCGTTGCCGAACAGCCCAAATGGTATGGTTGTCAATCTCTCGTATACATTAATTTCCATACATAATATGTTGTCGGCTTCACACTGTTGGCTGTGCCATATATATCATGACCAGCTAATTTAAGTTACAGCTAATCCTACACAAACGGCCGGACGAGGAGATTGTGTGTGTGGTCTGTGCTGTGGTGGACTTGTGAGCATCTAAGACGTGTTTGGAGTGTCGCCTCACAAAACTCCAAAAGAAGATGGCAAAGTTGCAATCACATCACTTTTCTTCAAAAAGTCGCAGGCGGCCCCCCGCGAATTGGCCGCGCTATTTACCCTCCTCCCTTTACTTGCTTCCTAAACAAAAAATATATATAAACACCCCCACACCCCCTCTGTCCCCCCCTTCCCATAAATCATAATCCCCTTTTCCTAAAACTTTGTCAAAAACCAAACACCCCCTAACCATCGACATCCTTTAATCCTTTTCTTTTTCTTATTATTCAAAAAATAAAAATAAAAACCCTCCCAATTCCCATCATTTACCTCTTTAGTTCCTTTCACCTTTTTATTTTCCCCCTCTAGCATAAAAAAATTTAAATCCCTTATATATATATATACCGTGGGGGAAAACAAATTGTCCTAGTCCATCACATGGCCGCCAACCGCCCTGACCTTCCCCTTCCTCCTCCTAGTGAGCCCTCCCAAGTCCCAATCCAACCACCGCCTCCGCCGGCGCCGGCGCCGCTCATTCTCCCATCTCCGCCGAAATCTACTCCCCCTAACCCTACTCCTACTCCTACTCCCACTTCAACAACAACAACTACAACTCCTACCTTCACTTTCATCACTCCGATTCCGATCCCAAATTCGATCACATCTTCCCAGCTTCTGCCAGCTGTCACCACCGCTGCAACTACAACAACAATCACGCCCTGCTCCTCCCCGACCTCCCCTTCTTCCGGGAAGCACCCGGCGTACAGGGGGATCCGGGCCCGGAGCGGGAAGTGGGTCTCGGAGATCCGGGAGCCCAAGAAGACGACCCGGATATGGCTGGGAACCTACCCGACCCCCGAGATGGCGGCCGCGGCGTACGACGTCGCTGCGCTGGCGCTCAAGGGTCCCACCGCACCGCTCAATTTCCCCAACTCCATCATCTCCTACCCTATCCCGGCCTCCCCTTCCGCCTCCGACATTCGCGCCGCCGCCGCCAAGGCAGCCCTCGCCCGCCTGCCCAAACCGGTTTCCCTTGCCAGTACCGCTGATCATCAGCCCGCCTCCTCCTCCTCCGTGGAAGAGATCAAAGTGGCGGCTGTTAAGGAGAAGGAGGAGGAGGAGGAGGAGGAGTTCATGGACATGGATGAGCTGCTGAACATGCCGAATCTGCTGGTGGATATGGCTGGAGGGATGATGGTCAGCCCGCCCAGGATGGATACGCCGTCATCGATACATGATTCGCCGGATAATTCGGATGCCGGGGAATCGCTCTGGTCGTATCACTTGGGAAAGTGATGATAACACACACAAGGAAGAAAAAAGAAGAAAAAAAGAAAAACAACACGTCCCACCCGATTATTGTTTAATCTATATTTACGATGGTAACATATATATATATATATTATACTTATAGAGATCTCTCTATATATATTCTTCAACATGTATGCTACTCTCTGATTTGTTTTCTTCGATTTGTTTTCTTTTTTTCTTTCTTTTTTTCCGTTTCTTGTTTTCGCCCTGCGCGCCGGGTAGGGTTGATTACCGGTCCAGCTTGCTGCTAGGTAATTAGTTGGACGGATCAGGTGACGGCCGGCGGGAATCATAACCAGCAGCTGCGTGATCAGTTGATGGGTTTTCCTTAATTTTCTTCCCCTTATGGTAATTTTCAGAGTTGATCAGTTGATGAGATTGATTATCAAGTACTGATGATGATGTGATGATCAGTTTTTTGTGTCTTTGTCATCTGCATTCCAAATCTTGCCTGCACCGTCACATCCCATTAGGGTTCATATGTGGGCCTTGGCGACGATATTGATTCCAAACTGTTCCAACTCATGGTGATTCAATTGTTTCTTGTTGCTATGACTTCTTCGAGTTCGATTATCTGTTGTCGAATGGAAGTCTGCAATGTATGAGCTTATGCATATTTGTGTTACTGTTTCCTGTTCTGGTCTCTTGGTAACATTTCTTCTCTCCAGGTTAGGTTGGATCAGGATTAGTCCGTTTGTGGAGGTGTTACATATATGCGATGCAATCCGTATCTCCTCAAATACAGTGAAATTGGACTCTCCTGCTCATAAATTAGTTAACACACATCGTGTTAATGAACCACACATAAATCTATGTACTCTTTATTTTCTTATATTGTCGATTTCCCGTTCCGTTGTAACATTTCCATCAGCACTAAGTCAAACCGTTTATGCTCAGATTAATGTGTTTGATTCCCTAATCCTCCTCGAGGTATTGCAGCAGCCTCTACTAGATGGATGCTACTGCAGATAGGTGCAGTGGTTGATGTGTAGAGTACTTGTTGCTCTGTCAAGTTGTGTGCATGGCATGATTGCCAGGATTTGCGTATACATGTAGTAGTAGTAGACCAAGAAAGAGAGAAACTTGTGGCAGTTAACTTCTTACATAGTGGAAAAACAAGGCAAGAGTAGGGATAGGAGAAAAAAAAAACCCTGCAGAAGGGTCAGTGATACAGTTTTTTTTCTCTACAGGTGAAAAACAGAAACACAAACATAGATCTTCCCATATATTTATGGTAAAAGTTTTTGGGCGACATTTTGAAGATGCCCAAATAGACGTCTAGGGTAAACTATAAATCTAACACCGATCTTGGCTTTCCCTTTTTATAATTTCCTGTGGAAATTTATGGCTCCTTTCCTGACCGTACGCATATATATGGCATATGTGTTTCTGCTGCTGGTTTTAATTTGCTGGCCATTGAAATTAACGGTTTGGAGTTGAAGCCGGATTGAGGACGTGGGTAGACAGAGAGCACAAAGTTGATGTAGCTTTGATCTTAATTGATTGAGTCGAAAGTAAAGTGTGGTAGCTAGCCCAGCAAAATAGGCCTGCAAACCTAGAGCCCTAATCACCCACTTTTGTACATTTTGCAGCTTTTATATATAACATTCTCATGCGGCCTTATTGCACTAGTAAATATAGTATTCTTCTTGGTAACAATTTGGTTGGTACATGCATGTCAGGAAATGTTCATTTGTTTAGTCTCTCCTGAACTTTGTTTTGTTGAGTTGAATTGGCTTCTGAGATGTATCAAAAGGACGTTATAATTTCTCTTTCTAACAATTCGTGCGTGCAATATATTAAAAATTTTCCTAAAATATAACACAAATACGTGCTTAATAAGTAGGATCGCAGTAAATATACATCATGTTAAAGAAAATACCCGTTACCAATGTGTTCAATTGGGGACCGTTCCCAAATACATTTTGAGGGAAGAGCAAAAAGGATCCAATTTTGAACCTTAATTTTTCTGCAAGCTAACTACCGGGTCAATCTAATTTTATACCCCCCTATATTAACAACTGAAATAAGGATAATGTTAATGATGAGCTATGTCTAACTTCATGATCAATTAGACATAATATTCATTTTGAACGTCTCTCCACGATATGAGATTTATGTGACTAACATGTTAAAGTGTGTCAACACCCACAAGGTATGTGTCCTATCTTCTCTACATCATACCGTTGTTGAGTTTAAGATACAAAATAGAATCTCGTCTTTTATACTGTCATTTCGTAATGGTTAGCCCTAGTCAGGAACAAAAAAGAAATCCACGTAGAAAAGTTTATCTTTCCTTGAAACTTACTCCTTCCACTTTCCCCGAGCAAAATTAAAAACTCCTCCGTTAATTAACAAGTAGTAGATTATTCTTTTGATTATACGTAAATCCTCGTTAATTAACACGTATATTTCTTGAACTTGTTATGCTTTGCATGATGTATTTTGTTATCAATGTTGAGCAGGGGCGGAGACACAGTGTAAGTAGGGTGTTCCATGGCACACCCGTGGGTCGGGGCTAGAACATCAAAAAAACCTCATAATTACATGCTTATTCAAGCAGTAATCGAAACTTTAGCCCTACCAAGCAAGCTTCTCCTAGTCTCACCCTTGAGCCTTCATCTTCCTTCTTTCCTCTTTCTCTTTGGCACCCCTACCCAAAATCCTGACTACACCACTGATGTTGAGGGGTTTCAACTCCAGCAGAAGTGAAGGGAAAACATAACAAACAGTAGTTTTAGTCTGGTGACACCAGAAACCAGCTATGCTACTAGATATCTTTGCCTTTGGCCTTTGCTTTTGTGCATTGAATGTACATAATTTCATCTAGAAAAAAGGCAGCAGCAATTGCTAATTCAAGGTTACACCAACCATCAAACAAGCCAGCAGCTTTTTACCTTCTACCATATATGCTGTTGATGAGGACATTGAAGGGAGGATGTGGGATCGAGACACTAGCTAGCTAGCTAGCTAGATAAATTGGTGTCAGATATCCTGAACATATGCAATGCAGTGTTAATTGATCATTCATTAGCTGCTAGCTACATTTACATGTGTAATGAATTCACCAGAGTTAATTTTGTAAAGGCTTAAATATCATGCATGTGCCCACTGGTTGAAATGGAATAACTGAACATTTATTTTGGGGCTTCAGACTGGTTTTTAATGTCATCTGCAAAAAATTAAAATAAAATAAAATAATACTTATGTAGTTGCAGATTTCACTCGTGTTACTTTCTTTTTACTTGGCCGGTTTTCTCTACAGTAAAAATGAATGGGTGTGGACTTTGTTGGATCATATGCCTAATGCCTTCGTATAGTTACGACTGTTGTAAATCGTGTTATCTGTACGTGGGATGATCCAACAATTTTAACATACATTAAGTGATATCAACATTCATAAAAATTGTAGTAGTACAACATCAAGGATTTAATTAGCTTGTCGTGTCAGAAAAACAAGTTGGAGGGGAAGCTAGCTAGCTTTAGCACAAATGGTTTTGGATGACGATGCGCATTGCCATGGATTTTCACCAGCCTCATGATATATGGCAAATACCAAAATGCCATATAATGCATTATTAGACAAATAAGGTAATCAAACCGTTTTTGTCCTTTCCTCACCTCATAATTAGGGCTAGCGACTCTCCCATATGCCAATATTCGAATTCGAATTCTAGAAGTGATGATAGGATTTGTTATGGAAGGATAATGATTCGTTTTTTGGGGGGGGGGGGGGGGGGGGGGGGACATTCATATATCCAATACCCATTTTCCTCTCTTTTGGTGGCATAATATTCAATTCCGTTAGATTTGCAGATTTATTAACTTCTTAATCATCTCAATATAATCATTTCTTGGTAAGAAAAGATGTAAAACTAGAGCTTGTACTTAGTGGAAGAATGATAACAACTAATAATAATATGGATGTCTCGGATTCGAATCACTTTAATAACATTTAATTATAAAAGTCGGCCTATTTCACTCTAATCAAAAATTAATTACCAACGATGGACTTGTAGTCAGTCACCGATACTACTAGAGTAATTCAATAGTAGTGCATTCGAGTTATGTTGTTTCCTTGTAAATCTCTAGTTATCATAGCCATATATTCTCGTACTGTTATAAGTTGATCTATACTTTCATATCCTTTTTTACCAATTAAGCTATGATCCAGATTTGATTTCATGAATACTTGACGAATCCATAAAAACCTATGATTCGTGCACGCTACCCCACTAATCGATAACTACAAATAGACACTCTCGTTCTTAGAATGGTAGGCCAACTTATACGATCCTAGTAAAAAAATGAAGGGTTGAAAGATCCAACTGCGAGTACTGGGCCGCATTTTATTAGAAAATTAGATACCGTAAAAAAAAATAATGATCATAGTTTTTTTACAATGTTAATTGTACACGACGATCATTTAATAATTTAGCAAATGCATCAACAATGGAGTCTGCATTCATCCCAATAGTATACTCTGCTTCAAATAAGATACTTGTGCAATCAACGAGAATTCATCGCTCATTTTGTTCCGCAAATCAGTTTGCACTTGTTTCATTGTTGAAAATGTTCTCTCCGTAGTAGATGTTTAAACGGGAAGCGTCAACACTAGACAAATCAGTCGACTAATCAATTTGCATTGTGTGTCCATCCCTGTATCCACCAGCTGCACTAGTAAATTTTCAAGAGAGCAAACCTCGTATTTCTTTGTCTTTTATGCTTTAGACTTTTAGAATTTTAGATTTCGTTGTTTTTGTTTAGACGAAAATCTTTGGAGCTAAAATTTATAGGCTAAATTTAGAGTAGTAATTTAAATATGTCCATCTTAATCATTTTTCTAATTATACACAATCTAACTATAAAATAACACTTAACTAAATATCCAAAATTGAAAAATTCATAAGGACTATACTAACTTCGGATCCAGAGCAGGACCATGAACTGGATTGGCCACCCCTGCACCCGCCACTGGAAAAATTGAATTGACCAACCTAAGTCGCCAAAATATATGACCTCATCATAACGTTAATCAGGCTGTTTTATGCCTAAAGCAATGGTTACTCTGATTTCGAGGGATGCTAATTGAGATATTAGGTGGCCCTTTCTTTTGACCGCCTCCCTCGATTTTCTTCCAAAGGAATTCAAAACCAGGACCTGCCGCCATGCATAGTCGGCTTGGCAATGACCATAATCGAGCGCTAATTCTGCTCAAAGGGTAAACAAAAGCGGGTACATTGCATCCATCTTCAACAGATTGATGACCCGTTAAGTATCTGACGACCGTTGAGTTTGAACATTTAACTCGAATTTTTGTTAGTTTGAAAACAATTATTGAATCAACATGCGAAGATTGAGGGGAATCTAATTTTGGTCTGGCCGAAATCATTTGTTCATTTTTTTGTTTAAAGGGGAGATATTATATATAGTTAATAATTAGTGACATGATAATTAATTATGCATTTTCCATGGATGTATTTTCAGCTTTATTTGAAACTGATGAATTACGTTATCATCATGACCTTTGTTTAATTTTGTATAGCCAAAAAGATAAGATTTCCACACAACTCAAAGGGGGGGAGAGGTTGTGTCTTTTGTAGTTATATGAGCTCAAACAAGTAATGCTGAATTGCTGATGATGTGTGTTTGTGTCACATGATGGTAGTACAAGTTCCATATTTTGTATGGTAAATTATGGAAGAAACCGATTTATAAACATTATTGGTCAATATTAGTTAAGAAAATAAATCATGATTAATTTCCTTTAATTACGGTGCATGAGGGGTTATAAAATATAAACAATTTCGAC